ACATTAGTAAAGTTTAGAAAAATAGGGATTAAATTGACAGAACATAAACATATTAACGGAAACTAGGTTTGTGGCATTAAATGTGGTTTATAGGATTCTTGGTTACTATAAAGTTTCATGTGGTTCAGTGGAGTTGTTTTAAATTTATACCCGTTTTTTATGATTCTCAAAAACAAAAACAATCAAAGTAAGGAAGCCGAAAAGTCTTTAGAAAATTTTTATTTCCAAAATTACTTTTGCAAAAAATATTTTTCTCAAAAATTTGTATTCATGGTTATTTCGTGGTGCGGAAAAAGAATATCAACATTGTTTCTTAATAATTTTTTTTTAAACTTTGCTCGGTCAGAAATTAAGCAATTCAATATCTTCGATGCCCGTACGCATAACTGGAAACATAATATTTTGCACATAACAAAATAAATCGGGTTTCTTTTTAAGAAACTTTGAACGCCCTTAAATACGAATTTTCATAGTAATCAAAAATTATACATTTTTGGGGTTTACGGAGGCAATTTTTCTTTTCCACTTGAGAATTCATAACCCCTCTGGATTTTATCCAAATCCGTTGGAAAGCTGAATCTATCTAGTTTAAGTCTGTGTCAACAAGGTTTAGATTTTACATGATCATAAACGAGAAAAAAATGGTGAAATCGACAGTAAAAGCCAGAGACCTTTTTTATTTTATATCTACGGTTCTAATTTATTTGTTTTCGCCATTAAATTGTAGGATTCTAAATTGATTTAAAATTTCATAAAGATTCGTGCTGTCGTTTCAAAGTTATCATAATTAAATTCAATAGTTTTCTAGGTCTGCTTGACCAAATAATATCTTTCAAGTAATTAATCTGCATTTAAGAGATTGGTTGAGATAAAAAAGTCGGTGTCATGAGCGGGATTCGAACCCACGACCTTCGGCTAAATACGCCACTGCTCTACCACTTGAGCTATCGTGACTTCGATCCACTCGACCCATTGTCAAGTCACGATTGCGCAAGTGGTAGAGCAGCGGCGTATTTAGCCGAAGGTCTTGGGTTCGAATCCCGCTTGTGACATGACTTTTTTATCTCAACCAGTATCTTAAATACAGGTTATCATAATTTTTGTGTTTTTCAAAGAAAGTCGAAGGAGAAAAATTTATGAAAAAATCTTTTTTTTTCATATAAAAATTTATATTCGGGGTTTTTTAGGGTGCAAAAACTGAATATCAACTTTGTTTCTTGCTAAAAAATTTCTGTTGCCTACTATGCTACATCGCTCGGTCATAGTAATGTTAATGACGCACTACATACCAGTTCTAGTTTTAGTTTTATGTAGTTTGTCGGCTCCTCCTGTTTGCCAGGAATAAATTGTTGGTTTTACCATAGATTTTATCAAAAAAGAAAAATTCTCTCACAGGTGTCTATTGTCCCATATAAAGATTAATAAATTCTCTCAATTTTATCCAAATTTGATGTTATAAGAGTTAAAAAGCCCGGCTGGCCTTTTTCTCTTAAAAATTGTTACAAAATTGCTTCGTATTTATTTACAGCGGAATTCGCTGGTAAAAATCAGCTGATTTTAGACCCTGTGAGTAACGTGAATGAGTTTCTGCCTTTCTGCTTTAAAAATAAAAACAAAATAAATATTGTATGTACACATCTTCCATGGAGGCCGATTCGGGATTCCAGAGGCGGATGGATCGTAAACATGACTTAATTGGCGGTGCGTACGCGTAGTTTCGTGTTTTCTAATGAATTAAATGTATGCGACTGACGCAACGAGGCGTCTCGAGAATATAAATGGAAACAAAGCGAACGGTTTCCCGTTGGTACCGTTTCTTCCAGGCGAATCCCAGACGGAGGCAAGCTCGGCCGATTCCCCCCGCCACGATTCATCCGGAGGATTCGTTCAGGATATACCTCGTGACGTATCCCCCATCCATCCTCGCACACACGATTCCCGTAAATAAAAATAGCCCGTGTCCTTTTTAGAAAAGGAATTTCGGTTGAGATCGGAGGTCAGAGCAATGGTGAATTAGGAAGCTGCATAGCTCCAAACAGGTCTACGAGTAGAAAGCGACCCCTTGTACTTTCCAACACTGACCTTAAAGACTTGTTTACGGATGAAAAGGGAGAATACCAATCCGAACCGAGATATTTAATACGTGAGAGAGCCTTTCAGACTTTTTTTCCTCCTTAATTTAATTTAAAAATTACACAAAGGGGTGAATATGCCATCCTTGATCTTTTTACCCTTTACCATTTAAAAATTAATCATTTAAGTTTCCGTAATAGGAAAACAGCACATTGGTAAAACACTGAGAAGAGACTCGCTTTCACACAAATCACACAAACCCGACAATTTTAAATTTTAGATATACAGTTACTCTTATTTAATTTATCAAGCTGGCGAGGTTCCATGGATCATTAGCTGCTAATGCAGAATGCCTTCCAAGATTCCAATTTAGTTTCTTTAATCAATTCTCGATGTATTAGCTTCAAGACAAACTATGCTTATTTCTGTGTGTTTCGAAGCATTTGATTGTTGTATGCGCTTTGGTTTAATCGCCTGCTGGCATTAACTCTCTTCCGTAGGATGTCCAAATTTTCATTCCACCAATTAACAGTTTTTTGGATATTTATTCTACTTCTTTTAACAGCGGGTAAGGATAATTTACCGGCTTCAATAATCGAGTGATGCACCCTATCAGTGGATGTATTCAAATTTTGAGGACGAGGACCCTCTATCCGGTGTTAAGAGATGGCTGAATCAACGCAGTCTAGCTAGCTGGGAAGAAATTTGGAGTAACTCTATCTAGAGGGACGACGTACCAGGGAGTTCTTTTCATCGGTCTCATGCCGTTTACGGAAGGGCCACAGGCGTACCCAAATCCTGACAGGACATGGAAAATTGACGGACTATCTCTTTCGCTTTTATATTAACCCCGATCTTGCTTGTTCTTGCAGTCGGGCATCTCATCAGACTATGGATCACCTTCTTTTTGAGTGCGATGCAGTGAACACTCCGCACACATCAAGAAAGAAATCCATGTCGTACTATATTACGAGTCCTTAAGTCAATTTACATATGCTTACATGGCTATTTGCGAGTTCTTGAAGTACAGAAGAAATTTTACAACGTTTTTGTTATCTCGTTTTGCTAGTATGTTGACCCGTAGCCCGACTATTCTCGACCTGTACGATTTTTATTGTGTTTTGCTGACGGCCCTAGTTAACGAATCCGTCCCCTTTTTCAGACAGGCGTTCATTTTCTATATTTGTATTGCGTTTCAAAATTTGTCCACGTTGGATGTCCGAAATATCGAAGAAGTTGCTGAAACCGGTGAAAAACATTCAATCTCGCAAAACCTACTAAAATTTTTTTTAAAGAAATCGTTTTGCACGTCGAAAGCTTTTGGGGTTGATGGTGAGTTTACAGTGGAAGTTGGTTAATTATGGAGGAATTCATTAGTGATTTAAAGGCTGCAGAAATTTGAGACGTTGAAATACTGGAACGTTTAGGTTTCATCGTTCTATAAACGTCCAAATCGTTTGTCGTTTTTCGTCGATTGCTTGGATCGCCATCGCATGTGTTTATCGAAAGGACAGTATCGTTTCAGTTGGGTATGTCGATTCCCAGAGGGGCCCCAAGGTAATGCAGTTAAATTTGGGTAATCTTCATTTTCCATTGTCTATACTTATGAGATATCCTCCGATGAGATTGTAAAATCGGGGTCAGAGGAAAGAGGTAGTTAGTCATATAAAAGATAAAGAGGATCGGCCTAGCACTGTGGTACCTCAGAGGTCAGCAGTAGTCGGATCTGCTCCTTGCCGAAGGTTAAAAGAAGTCGGCCTCTTGACTGCTTTGCGCACCGTGAGCAATATTGGTTTATTGTGCAATCTCCATTACAATCTTGAGCTCTTCTTTAAACTTAAGAATTTTCATCAGATCCCAAAGCTTTTTTAACGGCTCTCGTGTTCTTCAGACCTTCGAACCTCTCAAACGGTATCTCTAGATGCAAGGTCTTCGCATCAGAGGACTTCTTCTGTGCAGTTTGTTTTTACTGCTCAGAGTCTATATGGGGGCAGTGTCCAGTTAGCAGGACTATCAAACTAGCCCTAACAGGTCCTAAGTTAATGAAATTTTGTCCAGAAATACAACCCCATTGAATCGAAGATTTTATTCTTAATATATTGTCTGATGGACGTTTTTGGCCATTTGATCCTCGCTGCCCTTCTGCCCAGTGTGCAAAAACAACATGTTTGTCCGCAATGTCAGTCAAGGTCTTCATGCAATCTCAAACATACTTTACTAGCGATGCGGTGGTAGTTTGTTTGGCTTTATTATACCTTGGGTTTTTACGTAGATGCCAGTTCCTCAACCATGCTCGACGATATTAAAACCCCAGGAATACTCCGAAACCTACCAAAGAAAGATGTTTTACTCTAGCTCAACTACATCAACCTTACTAATCTCTCACTTTCCTCTGTTATGGAAATATTCCATAATCACTCTTATATCCTTACGAACCTCCCAATGACATGTCCTCCTACCGACCTATAATGCCAAATCATCCTGGACTTCGTTTAAATCGTATAATGCCAGTCTTAGATTTACATAAAATTTCACGTCAGTTCGGTTTCCGTTCTCGTCAGACGACGATTCAGCTAACACATCTGCTTTAGAGAACAGAGAGTACTGCTCGGGTGCTTTCATAATCATACAAGCTTTTGGCACCCGGGAATTTCCTTCTTTGATTTTCTAGATCACGACTGATTAGCTAACAATTATGCGGCCAATCTAACAAATTATTTTATATCTGAACAGTATCGTTGACTATTTTTTAATCGAAGAATGTTACAACTTTGTAATCGGTCGATAGCAATTATAATTCGTTACTAATTCACTAATCTACATTATCGACTTATTATCTCGAACCAAGGTGTCGGTTAATTTATAATTATTCAATTGCTTATCGTATCAGATTAAAACTGATTGTGTGTTTTAATTTTTTGTTTCAGGACGGGGAAATTCGCCGAATGGATTAAATCTCGTAAGCTCAAAGCCCTTATCGTTAAACTTAGCAGTTGATAAGTTAAACTAGATAAAACTACTATAACTATGAGAATACAGCAATTTTTTGATTTTGGTCTGCTTATCCTAGAAGATAAAGGACAAAATAAAGTAGCGATATAAAGAGGACATTTTAAACACCGTTGAAACTCAAAATATCAGAAAACAGGCAAACTGACGTCGTTCGAATATCTTGCCTTTTCTAAGCTGTTTTCTCCGATTTCCTTTTGCATATTTTGCCATGTTTCCTATCAAGTATGACGTTCAATAAATCATGGTTCGATTTGGCCTTAAATTCCATAGAAAACCTTGTTGAAAAAGCTGACTTTCTAATTGGAAAATGTAGCTTTACGATTTACGCCATATCTAGGCGATTTTCTCCAACACAGTTTCTACATATGGCCAAATAATCTATCCTTTATGACTGCTTAATTGAGCAGGGTTCAATTTGGTTGGAAATACCAAAGAAAACTATGTTAAAAAAGCTAAAAACACTAAGAAATGTTTAACAAAACATAATAACACAATATTTTTAAATTTCAAGAAATGAATTAATGTTTAGAAATATATGGATATATTACAATACTATATATATAGCTTATAAATGTTTAATAAAGCGAGGTTAATAATATTAAAGAAACCCGTGTCGGAAAAGCCAATAACAACCATAAATGGCGAAAAAATGTACGTTTTTACTGCTTGACTTTTCGAGAATGTTTTCTCCGTCAAAATTGGAATAGTCATTAGAGTTTACATCCTTGCAAAGTTGTTATCTTAATCAAATTCTTCATATTCAATATGACTTTTAAGTAAAGTTGGGCTAAATTTTGTTTTAAATACAAAAAAAAAACTGATGAAAAGCTTACAATCGTCGGACAACACCCAAACTGAAGTTTTTCGAGTACTTTGCATTTTGTAGGAGGTTTATCTGTCAACATTTACACATTTTGTCGTATTAACCATACAATATAATTTTTAAATAAAGTGGGGTTAGATTTTTCTCTACATTTTAAAGAAAACACCGTTATACAAACTTAAAAACGCCAGAAAATTGCCAATCCGATGTTTTTCAACTAACTTGCCACTTGTAGGTTTTCTCTGAATCAAAATGTGCATATTTTTCAAAATCCACCACGTGATTGATTTTTAAATAAAGTGGGGTTTAATTTTGCTTTAAACACCAAAGAAAAACCCCGGTTAGAAAAGCTTGAAAAGCTCAGAAAAGAGCAAAACCGACTATTTCGACTGACTTGCCTTTTCTACGATGTGTTCTTTATCAACATTCGCATATTTTTCCATATCGATCATCTCCATGATTTTTAAATAACGTGTGGTTAATTTTCCCTTTAAACCCCAATGAAAACTCAGACCCAGTTAGAAAAGCAAAAAACGTCAGAAAACTGCCAAACTGACGTTATTCTACTGACTTGCCATTTCTAGGTTGCCGTGTCAATATGTGCTGATGGCTGATATGTCAAAAATTGCGTATTTTGCCGAATTCCCCATCCAAAGTTATTTTTAAACCAAGTGGGGTTAAAGTTTGCTTTAAATGTCTAGGACGGTTAGATAAGCTTAAGAATGTCAGAAAACAGCTGACTGGTGTTTTCTGACTCCCTTACCATTTCTATGCTGTTTTATCCCGCAAAATTAGCATATTTTTCATTATTCACCATAAAGCATGGTTTTACAATAAAGTAGCGTTAAATTTTGTCTTAGATACCAAAGAAAGCTAAGTTAGAAAAGTTTTAAAATGTCAGAAAACATCCAAACCGACTTTTTCTACTACCTTGCCTCTTCTGATGATGTTTTCTTTATCAAAATTTGCATGTTTTGCCAAATTCCCCATCCTATATGACGTTTGATAAATTACGGTTTGATTTGACTGAAAAGAAAACCTAGTTAGAAAAGCTTAAAAAGGCTAGAAAACAGGCAAACTGTTGTTTTTCAACTATCTTGCCTTTTCTAGACTGTTTTATCTGTCAAAATTAGCATATTTTTCGTTATTCACCGTCCCAAATTATGTTTAATATCTTGTGATTTTAAATGTCAAAGAAAACCTCATTAGATAAGCACTACGTCAGAAAACAGCCAAATTGAAGTTATTCGATTACCTTGCCATTTCTAGGCTCTTTTATGCGTCAAAATTAGCATATTTTGCCAAATTCCCCATCCAACGTGATTTATAAACAAAGTCGGGTAAAAGTTTGCTTTAGATATCAAAGACCGTTGTTAGATAAGCTTAAGAACGTGAGAAAACTGCCGAAATTGCGTTTTTCGACTGCTCTTCCTTTTGTAGCTTGCTTTATCAGTCAATGTTTGCGCATTTTGCCAAATTCTCCATCTAAAATAATTTTTGAATAATCTTAAAGTGCGCGTTAAATTTTGCTTAAGAAACCAAAGAAAACGTAGTTAGAAAAGCTTAAAAACATCAGAAAAAAGACAAACTGACCTATTTCGACTACTTTGCCATTTCTCGGCTGTTTTCTCTATCAAAATTTGCAAATTTTTCAAAATTCACCATCTGACATGAATTTTATGTAATGTGGGGTTGTTTTTTTATAAAAACCAAACGAAAGCCATATTAGAAAAGTTTTAGAATGTCAGAAAACAGCTAAAATTGGCGTTTTTTATTTAAATGTTTTATTAGTCAAAATTTTCTGTTTTGCCAAATCATGATTGCCATCATGATTTTTAAATAATTTATGGTTAAATTTTGCTTTAAACACTAGAGAAAACGCTGTTAAAAAAGCTTTAAAACTTCAGAAGACAGAAAAACCTACTTTTTCGATTACACTGCCTTTTCTTGGCTATTTTCTCTATCAAAATTTACATATTTTACCACATTTACCATCCAATGTAATTTTTCAATAAAATGAGGCTACATATTCCTCTGAATACGGGAGAAAACATCGTTAAAAAAAACTCCAGAACGTCAGAACACAGCCAAACAGGTTTTTCGAATTGTTTGCCTTTTCTAGGCTGTTTTATCTGTCCAAATTAACATAATTTTCCATATTCACCACCCAAATGATTTTAAAATAACGTAGGGTTAAATTTAGCTTTAAACACCAAATAAATCCCAGTTAAAAAGGCTTAAAAACATCAGAAACAGCCAAACCTACTTTTTCGACTATCTCGCCTGTTTTATAATGTATTCATTATCCAAATTTCCATATTTCCATACTCCTCATCCAACATGATTGTTAAATGAAGTGGTGTTTAATTTGGATTTAATTAACGAATCAAGTTATGTTAGAAAATGTTGAAAACGTCAGAAAACATCCGCATTTACGTTTTTTTATTACTTGACATTTCTAGGCTGTTTTCTCCAATAAAATATATATGTTTAGCTAAATTCTCTATCCTACTAATTTCCAAATAATGTTGGGTTAAATTTAGCCTTAAACACGGAATAAAGCCCAGTTGAAAAACGTCAAAAACAGCCAAACCTACTTTTTCGACTACCTTGCCTGTTCTATAATGTATTCTTTATCAAAATTTGAAATTTTTTCTATATTCCCTATCCAACGTGATTGGTAAACGAAGTGAGATTTAATTTGGATTAATTTTTCATGAATAACGATTCAAGCCACGTTAGAAAATTTCGAAACCTTAAGAAAACAGCCATACTTACGTTTTTTGATTCCTTGCCATTTTTAGGCTGTTTTCTCCAACAAAATGTACATTTTTAGCTAAATTCTCCGTTCAACCTAATTTGCAAATAATGTTGGGTTAAATTCTGCTGTAAACACTAAAAAACTTCGAGTTAGAAAAGCTCGAAAATATCGGACTGACGTTTTTCGACTACCTTACCTTTTCTATGCTGTTTTTTAGATCAACATTCGCATATTTTTCAAAATTCACCATCTGACATGATTTTAAAATAATGTGGGATTAAACTTCGCTTTAAATACCAAAGAAAACCATGTCGTAAATAAAATAAAAAATTTAAAAAAACGACAAGAAATGTCAAAATTTTATTTTAAGGTGTGCCCATGTTCTCTAACAGTTCGGTGTGTATTTTCTTACACGTTTTAATCGATTTTCGCTTTTAAAGTTCTTCCACCGGTTTGTTGCGAGGAATGCAATAATAGTAGAAGCGCTGGCGGTGAGATTTTTGGCACAGACCCGCCACTGAAGACGAGTCTGACAGGGCAAATTACAGGTTCATCACCCAATTGCGACCACACAGAGAAATCTTAAGAATTAAAAATATCTCCGACATTTTCTTAAACTTTTATTTTGTCTAGGGGAGCGACTAGTTTTCGAAATATTATCGATTAACAGTAAATTAAATAGATCAGGGTTAACTTTGGGTCTTTGGATATTGTTCAATTCGTTGGCCGGTCTTCCATGATCCTATTCTTACGGATTACCAATTCAAGAACAAAAATGCTTCCCTTATCAACGATCCCTTATCTTTTCTTCAGAAAACAAAAACATTTCTAGGAAAGATAACTTTGACTACAAACAGAGCTGAGACGCAATGAGGATTTGTCCTAAACAAATAAACGCGACGTCCTATAAGCCATATCAGACACGCATTTTGTTTTCGCTTATTTCATCTACGTAAAAACTTTCCAAAACTATTTTTTTATAAAGCTTTTAAAAGAGGGCCTAGTTTTATTATAGTCTAACAGAGATTACAAAGCCTGTTCATTATAAATTTTTATAAAGTTAGGAAGAGCGGTTTGTTTTTACTCGTCTGTTCGGGCGATTTATGTTGCGATTATGGTCAGATAAATACGAGATATACCGTGTGAAGAACGTGCGTACATCCAAGGAAATTTGAAGATTGAACGGAAGTGCGATACGTCTGGACGTGACCGAGATCCTGAAATTTTCTCATAAAACTTCACCGTCACCAGGAAGCGCTTGAAGATGAAAAACGTCAGATTATTCCCACAGTGGTAGTAATAGATGTCCGAATAAGGCACTCGGTTATCTGGAGGAATTTAGGCCCGATGCACACATGCGGTT